ATACATGTAAGTACCCGCGAAAACTTAAGATAGATAGATAGATAGATAGATAGATAGATAGATAGATAGATAGATATATTCTGAGAAGGTTAAATTACACTCTAATATTTAAATATTAAAACAGGTGTGACTTAAAGAGCAGCATGATCTTTTCAGGAACACTCATGGAATAAAATTTTCATTAAGATGAATGTCAAAACAAAAAAGCTATGAATCAGAAATCAGTAGAATATACCAAATATATATAGCAGCTTTTTGCTACTAACGGTACAAACCCATTTATGTTTTTTGAGTTAAATGCTACTAAAATTAAAGGTCTTACCTCCTGATGAATTATGTTTCAGATACTAGCAGACAGTTATATGATAGGAGTGGGACAAGAGAAGGTGAGCAAGCAGATGGGAAAGAATTTCCTCCTCCTAAGAATAGGATTTGATTCTAGGAAAACTTGTCAAAACTCTAGTCAAAGAGATATCAGGTTATTGTTATTTATATTGTTACTGCTAATACAAAGAAAAGCATAATAAGCCTGAATAAAATATCCCAAGGAGATTACTGTAGTTTGTTCAGTGTTTCTGGGAATATGTTTAGCTGGTTTCTGACTGAAATGATACAAGATGTGACAATGACCAAAATTCACTGCACCTTTATGCCAGGCAAAGATGTGAGACCAGCTTTTTTCTCTTTAGCCAGTCATTCGAACAATGTAGGAAAGAAAATTTAGTATATGTTTTTAGTGAAGTTGGTGAAAGCATATGATAAAGCAAAGATGCTTTTGCTTCCACAGAACATTTTATGCAAATAGTTGAAGGAAGTGTGAAAGGTTTGAAAAGAGGGGAAGACACAGACCATTACAGTTGGACAGAGTTATGAAATCCTCCAAAAGAGGAAGGAAAGAAGTTCAAGAACAAAAAATGTATGAATTAGTTACACATATGTGAAAATAAAAATTACTTGGAAGTATAACAAGATATGGAGAGCTATAGCATATGGTGTTAGATTTAGGTTTCATTTTGTTTCCTTGTTTTAATTTCTTTTGTTCACTATTTCTTTCTGTACTGCATAAAATAATTAACCCAAGGGAATTGTGGGATGTATAATTTGTGTACATATTTTGCAATACTGGATAATAGTAGGGGTGATGGTTCTTATTTTAGTATTATATTGTTTAATTATTATAATAGCCGGCAAAATGTCACATTTGATTTTGAAGACTTTTTCTCCTACCCTGGCTTTGGGAAAACCTTAAGAAACTGATATAATAATGATCTATTTCAAGTTTAATTTCAATTACTCATGTAGCTAAACTTTGAATGTTCTCCAATTATCCAGGGAAAATTATTGTATATATAATCAATTCTTATTTCAGAAGCAAACATAAATACTAAAAAAATGAAATTAGTTTAATTTTATACTATGGTAATGAAATATGTATTTTATCTTTTTTAGTAAACAAGCACAAGCCATGGATTGAAACATCTTATCATGGAGTTATTACTGAAAACAATGATACGGTCATACTGGATCCTCCATTAGTTGCTTTGGATAAAGATGCACCTATTCCATATGCAGGTAAAAAAACCCCATATACCAACAATGAATAACAATGTGTTTTCTGAGTGTTTTGGAACTTTATGTAACATGAATTGTTTATAATTGCAATGCATTCTTTTGATGGCGTATCATCAATATGTGATAGTTTAGTATTTCATTTCAGAAACATTTGGCTTGGAATGCAGTAGTTTATATTTGCTATAAGTGTTTATGGAGATTCTCAGTCATCTAGGTCATAGTTGTATAAATCTTTCTATTCCCCACCATCCAGGCAGAGTTGAAGAAGCTTCTTGGATGAGAACCAAAATGTTTCAAAGAAAAACAAGAAAGTCCAGTTGCCTCTTGAAAAAGCACCTTTGGGATTTGCTATAAATAGGATAATTAAACAATTTTGAATTGTTTCTTAGTAACAAATATATTTTTGAGAGCTCTCTTTATATAAGCTGTCCATCATGATTGTCTAACTAAATTCCTTTTGGGTAATAGTTGACCAAGGACATATCGATAATGTTTAAGATTATTTTTATTTAGTAAATGTTAGTGGATTCTTAGAAAGACTATTTAGGATGTCTTTCAACCAAATAATTTTAACCAATTTTTCCATGTAGTAAATCACTTGTATTGTGATCATCCAAGAAACAAATCATCTTTCTTTAAAGAGATATATATATTAGTTGAAGTGAGAAATTTAGGATAATTTAATATATTTAAAATGTAAGTATTGACTATTATAAAAATAAAACTAAAATTATAATAAATGTAAACCAAAGCTCAAAGGAAGAAGATGCCATATTGGATGGTATCAAAAGATCTATCAAGACAGATGGAGCACTTCTATCAAAAGCCTTCCAAGGTCATCTGCAAGTGCAATAATAGTTTATCAATGTTGTAGGCTAGCATGAACACTGATTGGACACTATTTTACTGTCCAGATTGGGGACAGGTTATCCTGGAAAATATCTATGACTGTGGTTGCTAAGAGCTGACACTATTTTTTTATTTATTTAGCATATTGCAAGGGCTGACACTAACTTGATTTCATATAGTTAAGCATCATTTTCCCTTAGAATATATGAAACATAAATATAGCAAAATAACAAGTTAAAAACCCAGAGTATTTAATAAACTATTTGTTTAAATCATGCTATGCTTTAATTAACTGACAAATTAACATTTTATATACTCATTACTTTTAAACATGGCCTTCTGCTAAAATGTAGCAGAAGTTAAATTACTGGTTTCTAACCGGGCTCAACAAATATAGTGTACTTTTCTAAGAAGATTAGATTTCAGCTGCTATATGAAATTATAGACTTGGAAGCAGGCCAAGAATTTTAACATAGACATGATATAAGCCAGCACAGCTAAAATGAACATTTAATGTAATGTTTAGTGAAATAAAATAAAGATATTATTGCAATTTACAAAATGGCATAGAAAAGTTGACAATAAGGAAATAACATTTGTTCAAAATATGGAAATTTCAAATCACAATAAAAAAGCTTTAATGGAAAGTGTTGATTTAATTTAGAGAATACAAGTTTCTGGCATGATTAAGAATCTAGGAAGTGTACAGAGCAGAAAAGCTTTAAGCAGAAGCCCTTCTTAAATGAGCAATATATGAAACAGTACAAATTCAAATAAATTGCAAAGCAATAAAAAGGCAAAAGAGAAAATAAAGAATACATTTGATTCATGTTTAAACCAATAATAAAACATCTACCGTGTTTCTCATATAATAAGGCCGGGTCTTATTTTTTTTTTGAGCCCCGAAAAAATGGCTAGGCCGTCTTTTCGGGGGTGACTTAATTCCCCCCCTTGCATCTTTGGGCGGGTGGGTAGCAATGGTTTGGATGTTGACCTCGGCGTTGGTGGGGCACTTCATATCGCGGTCAACGCAGGCAGCACCATATCCGGGTGTGCAACAAAAGTACTTCCTAACGGCAAGCCCCCCCCATTCCCCTCCATTTCGCATGTTTTAATATAGGCCTTAATTTGGGGGGAGGGGCTTAATTTCATTTCATGCCTATAAAACATGCTGGGATTTCCTATTGGAGGAGGCCGTATTGTTGGAGAAACAGGGTAACTACCACAAAGGAGCTGGTAGAAGATTAAGGAAACAATTACTGAAAGAGAACAGGAAATTTTTAAAAAAGAAATATAGATTTATTTCCAAAAAATATTTTTCCCATTAAGTCAATATAGTAAGAATTAAGTTGGTAACTGATACAATTTCTCTGTGAGATCAGTATTTTCAAGAGAAATGGAAGGTTATTTATTTATTCAGGATCTTTCATTGATTCCATATGGATTCTCAGCAGTTTATAATTGTACAGCATGGCTAGTAAGGAGCATATGCTGGGAGAGGTATTGTCATCTCTCCTGCATAAGTACATGGCAGGGATTCTGTTTATGGGTTATGCAGTAGTTTCCCACTTCTACCTGTTGGATCTGTTGGAAAAAAGTGAAATGCGTTGATCAGGCTTCTTTTTCCTTCACATTACCTTGTAAGGGAGATAGGGCTTTCATAGTCTAAGCCACTATATGATGAAAAGGGAAAACTAACTGGACATGCCATGTAGTAGTTTTGAGACATGTAGTCAGAGTACAGTAACCCTATCTTCTTTTGAAGATATGAAAACAACATTATTGCTCGTATTATTTTAAGTTTATTGTTTCCTTCATTAAAATCCACATCTAGTTGATAATAATTAACTATCCCCAGTGTATATAAGATTTTAGACAAAAGATTTGTTATTTTTCAAAGCTGTTCTAATCTCAGAAGAATTTGTGATGCAGGTTTGTTTTGTTTTAACAGATTTAGAGAAATTTCAAGGCTTTTATTAGGGTCATATTCAGTTCATCACAATATACTTTATTATATTAAGTACAATTTTTTTATATCATTATTTCATATATATATATATATATATATATATATATATATATATATATACACACACACACACACACACACACACACACACACACACACACACGTCATTATAGTTGTGCTTTTAAAGTTGTAGCAACGTTTCGGCAGAATCTCATCTGCCATCATTAGGCTTCTGTATTGTGTTCGTCTGTGAGTCAGACTTCTACAGTTGTTTCAGTTTTAAATTTGGGGCTAGCCTACTGCTGGTGCCAGAATGGTTTTTTCTTCATCCTGATTGGTTGGGAGTCTTGGTCTGTGTTTATTGGTCTTGGAGTTTGCTGTGTTCTGCTTGATTGGTGTTTCTAATATCTTCTGTCTGTTTTGTGGCTCTTTTTGTGTGTCTTTATTGTCTGGCAACATTGTGTTCCTGCATTGGAGGCTTTTAGTGCAGCTTGGCTCTGAGTGAATGGACAGCTATCATTTGTTAGGAAGCTAGGTTTCATCTGCGTGCCTGGTTGGGGTGTGTTTGAGCTGTCTGTCCTTCAGATGTCTATTATCTTTTCTCATTAAGCAAAATTTCTCCTGTGATCACTGACTGGAGTATGACGCCTTTATATCTTTCCCCTAAAATTATAACACTTAATGTAATACATAACTTCCGTTCGGATTCTGCTTGGTACATTCTAAAACTACACAATGTATTTAAAAAATAAATAAATATATATATAACATAATTAAAACAACAATCCATACCAATTTGATTCTATCATTAATATTAATATTCATTTAAATCTTGAACATTTTACATATTACTTTTCAAATAAGTATCATACTTCTATGGAAACACTTATAAACTTTCCATAATTACTTCCCTCCTACTTCACTTATATTTTATAAAACGTTGAGTAGTTAAAATGTTCCCATTCCTTCCTTGTTCAATTCTCTTATTTATTTCATTTCATTTATTTTGTTCACAAAAGTTTCACTAAATTACACTAACTATTTTATTCCACTTTGGAATAACTTCCATATGTTGTTCCATTCCACTTCCATATGTTGTTTCCAATTTTCTAACATTATTTCTATTACAAATATAACAATACAATCTTATGTACCTTTACAGAATCCCCTTTTCAGTTAAATTTTCACCCATTATCTCTGAATAAATCCTGTTTCTTTACATCTTGCTCCAGACCTTTGTAACTTCTCTTCCCTTCCTTCTTCCCTTTCTTCTCTCTCCCCTTTTTACCCCCCTGTCTCTCCACCTCCATTTCCCTCTTCTGTAATCCCCTTTTCTGTTGCTTTCCAACATTATATCCCCCTTTCACATTATTTTTCCCTTTTTTGGCTGTTTTTTTAGGTCTTAGATTCTCCATTCTCTTTCCCCCCTTTCCCTTTTCTTCCCCAGATAGAATTACTTGTTCATTAAAAATGGCTTCTTCTTTGTCCCAATCTTCTTGTTGCTCAGTCTTTTCTTGTTGTTTCTTGTAAACACCAATCGTCATTTCTAAGAATTGAAAAATGGAGCCAAAGGAGCCCTTCCCTTCTTGCTTCTCTTCTTTATATTTTTTAAATTCGATTTTCAGTTCATCCAGTTCATTCAGTTCATCCAGAGGTGATGCCATTGTAAAGTTTTCTTTTTTTTAAACAACCACCCAATTGTTTTTAGTCATTAAAGTATGATTTCCAAAAGTCCCCAAATCACCAAACAATCCAAATGCACACAAGCTGTTTCTTTTAACACTTTCTTCTTTTTTCACTTTCTCTTCTTGGGGTTACTATTTAGTTGCAAAGTTCCAGTTAAAATGTATCCTTTAGAAGTCTTGTTAAGATTTAACTTTAAATTCTTTTGAATTCCAAGCAGTCTCCTCCTTCCAAGTCGTGCCCTTATTCTTTTCCTCTTATAGCAAAAAAAGAGAGGATTTTTTAGTGTTCAGAAATCTTTATTGTCCCTTTGGCATTTAATTATATTTCCAGTTTAATTACCTGTTGGTGCCAAAGTGGATTTTTCCAATTTCTTTATTCAGATCTTCTCGTTATCAGCGTGAGGAAGGAGAAGAAGAAAAAGAAACCTTTCCCTTTCCACTTTTGTTCGCTGCTTCCGACTCTTCTTTGGGAGCGATGTATCTTTTGCAAAATTTAA